ATTTCACCCCCATGAGTCTAGGCTGGCCTTAGTGACCACCTGACTGATTGAATGCAGTACAAGTGACATCCTGGGATTTCCCAGGCTAGGTCATATGAAACCTTGCAGCTTCTGCTTGGTCTTCCTGGAAGGTTTGCTCTTGGAACCCTTAACTACCATATAAAACAAGTCTATCCACATGGAAAGGTCCTGAGATCACAGGGGGAATCAGGGGACCCAGCTGAGCCCAGCTTTCCACTGTGCCTTCCTTCGTAGGTGTTAAGCTTGAGTGAGGCCCTTTCAGACCTTCTAACCTACCCACCCACCAGCTAAATACCACCAAATGACCTCCGATGATGCCACATGGAACAGAATACTCAACCAGGTGATCCCTGGTCAAATTCCCAATCCACAAAATTATGAGTAATAAGATAGTGGCAGTTATAAGCCACTAAGTCTTGGGGTGCTTTGTTGCACATCAACAGCTAATGAAACACAAACACTCCTGGACCCTTGTGACTCAGACTCAGACTGAACCAACCACCAATGAAGGCTTTCGGTAAGGGCTCAATCACTGGATTTTGGAAGACAATGACACCTGAGTGGCACAGATGAGACAAAGGGGAACGTGTTTCCGTAGGCCATCTGTCCTAGATGCTGTTTTCAAATGAATTTGAATACTTCCCTTTTGAACATACACCAGATGCCAGTAGTGCCAATGCACTACTCAGCCAGGTGAACATCAGTGACATGAACGAACTGTTCTTTAGGGCTACAAGGAAGCTACGGACTGCAGCATTTATGCCATCAACTTAGTGATGTAACTAGCATGCTCTATGTTGTTAAAAGGTGGCAGTTTGGCACAAGGACATGTGAATTCAAGTGATTAGATGCAAACTAAAAGAGAGATGACTATTTCTGAAAGCTGTGGGTTAATTTTTTGGCTGTTCTCGGAATGGAAAATGATTGTGAATTTTGGGGGAAAAATACCAGAGCAATCTGTTTTCTTGGCCGCCTGCTATGGAGCAATTTTAAAGCATTGAAGTGCTTTCCATATTTTCTAATCACTCAAGTCCAGAGCTGATTATGGCTCTCAGCATCTCTCAGATTCACACCGCTGGAGCTTCCCACATCTTTCAGGGAGAGGTTTCACCTTGAAAGCAGGTGCCCGGATTCAGAAGGCACATCTTGCTACAGCAGGAACACACAGTTTAATTGTAGCACAGCTCACAAGGGCCAGGTGTTTTGGAAAATCACTGATGGCCCAACTCTGAGATAACCTAGATTCACTTTCCCTTATCTCACAAAAATAAAACATAACCTCTTCTCCAAACAGAAAAAATGAAAACAAGCCCTACTAGAAACTGAATTCTTTCACACAAAAACCAGGAACATTTAGATGGTTGAGACCTGTGGGCAAGGACATGCCTGCATTCACAGGCGTGCACACACACACATACACACACAGTTGTATATGATTAAACATCTCTAGAAGGAGCTTCATGAAACTGGAAACTGTGGTTTCCTCTGTGGAGAACTGGGGAACTGGAGAAAATTAGAGGGTTGATGAAGGAAGAAGACTTTTTTTTTTCACCTTAAACTTTGGAATATTTTGAATTTTTAAAAATCATATATTGTGTTACTTTTCAAATTAATGAAATAGAATAATTCCAACCCTGCATATGGCAATTAAGATGTGCTAGGTTGTGTATTTAATGCTTTGTGTATATTCACTTTTTAATCTTTACAATAACCCTGTGATGCAGACATCATTATGTATTTTCCTGATTTTACAGATGAAGAAACTGAGAAACGGAAAGGTTAGGTGACTTGTTCGAGGTCACATAGCCAGTAAATGCAGAACTGGGATCTGGACCCACAGTCTAGTTCTGGAGTCTGTCCTTTTAATGGCCACATAATACTGACTTGCCCAAAATAAACATACTCAGGCCCTTGATCATAATTGAGTTGGAGTAGATAAAATTGTTCCTTTCTTCTCTCACATGGTCAATATAAGGTCAATATCATGACTTTGGACAAGTTGCTTAATCTTTCTGAGCCTACACCGCTAGTGTGTACCAGGTATTCTTCTAGGTTTTGTGGATAACTAGTGAATAAAATAGAGTCCCTGGTCTCAAGAAACTTCCTGTATCCTGGTAGAAACAGACAATAAACAAACAATCCAGAAACCATAATGTAAACAATAAAGGAAAATTAAAGTGTTCATTGACAGATGAAGATTGGGAACCCCAATTTATGCTGAATGGCCAGGAAGTGTCATTTACACAGAGTGCTGAAAAATGGGCAGGAGTAAAGCAGGGAAAAATAGAAGCGGGTGGGGGAAAGGAAAAATATTATAGTAGAGAGAACAGCCTATGGAAAAATTCTGGGGCAGGGAAGGGGTGTGTGTCTGAAGACAGAAAGGTTTGTGTGGCTAAAACAGAGTGAAATTGAGTTTGGAGCAAGAAGCAGATCATGTAGACCAGTGGTCCCCAAGCTTTTTCACACCAGACACGGGGTTTTGGGGAAGACAATTTTTCCATGGCCGGGTCAAGGAGGATGGTTTAGGGATGAAACTGTTCCATCTTGGATCATCAGCCATTAAATTCTAATAAAGAGCACACAACCTAGATCTCTCTCATGTGCAGTTCACAATAGGGTTCGGCCTCCTATGAGAATCTAATGCAAATGCTGATTTGAGAGGAGGCAGAGCTCAGGTGGTAATGTCTGCTCTTTTCCTGCTGGTACCAGCCCATGGCATGGGGGTTGGGGACCCCTGATGTAGACCATGATTTGGCTCACGTCCCACCCTCCAACTGCCATCTAACATGTTTGAATTGTGCATCCTATCAGCAAAATGTTTAAATGTATATAAATAGGCATCTATATTCATATAGATATCTATATTCCTATCTATTATATATAGACACACATACTAAAATATGAACAAAAACATTTTCAAAAATAGAAGCTAGGAAGAATGACAAAGTAAATGATGAAAGTGCAGATATTTTTCTCCTTGTTTCCCAAAGGATTGTCTTGCATATCTCCTGAGCACCTCATCTCTACCCTGGGACTACAGCTCTAATCCAGAAAGCAGCATGGCCTGTGTTAAGTGAGATTCAAAGAAACAGAATCTCTTATCATGAAACCATCAGAACTCTCCTGACTTTGAGGGGGGCTCCTTTTGCACAAACTACTAGTTGTGCAAGGATTTCACAATTTTCATAAGAGCCCTGGGAAGTCACTGAAGGATATAAGTAGAAATGACATAACCTGATTTACTTTTTAAGATGATTACTGAGTGAAACATATGTCTAGGCAGTGGCAATGGAAGAACTGAAAGACCAGCTAGGAAGCTACTGCAGGAATGCAGGCAAGCAATGGAGATGGTTTGGAATAAAGTGCTGCAGGAGGGAGAGCAGTAGAAACATTTGAGATCCATGTTAGTTGTGCTATATTTTGTGAAAGGAGAATAATGATGTTAGCTATGAAGCATTATTGTGAAGCATAAGTTTACAGGTGTGAAAATGCTTTGTCAACTCTAAGGTGCCAAAGATAACTTAATATTACTATAGATGATGAAACCAAATACTAGAGAGACCCTAACTTGCCCAACGTCACACAACTGCTTAGTAGTTGGGAGGAAGGAGTTAAAGCAGTTGGCCTGCAATCTCTTTACTCCTTTCTCTGGGGGTGTATCCCAGGGGAAAGAAAAGAAGGCTGGTGACCAGGTCTAATCTCCTTGTCAAATGAACTTCTGCATAGATAGAGTAATGATATTTAGGATGTCCCTGGCTAACAACTACCTCTAGTAAATAGATTCCAGGACCTGTGAAGGAAGGCTCCTTGGAGAATATCACATCAGCTATACAACTCTCTGTGGTATAACAGGAAGATGTTTTGTGATTGAAATGCCTCATGCTCTGCAAGAAGAGGCGACCCTGTGTTCCTTACCTATTATTCTGAGTGAGATGCGTGTCCAATGAAGGAAGATAGGTCCTTGGGAGCCATTCTTGGGTTGCAGATTTTTCTTTACCTCATAAGAACTTCTTGATTGCTTATATTCTTGAACTTATTTAGCAAAGCCTGATAGTGGATAAGATCTCTGATTCATATAACATGACTTGACAATCAGATCGCCTGGCTTCATTCAGTGGCACATATCTATTTCCTAGGCTCTATTAGCTCCTGTGTAACACTGAGCCCAATTATAAAGTCCAGGGATGAAGGGAGAACATACTTGGTTATATTTGAACCCCTTACCAGTGGCAAAACGAATATTTATTTGACACATCTGATATCTATCAACTTGAAAATAATTTTGGGGAATATTTACACAATTGAAGAAACACAATGTATTTGCCCTCATTGTGACTGAGTAACACTGGAAGTGCACAATAATGGGTTGTTTGTGATGGTTCATGTGATTACATTGGGAGGTGAGCCAGGCTTTTTGGGTCTCCAATGACAGCTCCCAAGCAGTTCTAGAAGAGAGGGCTTTTTAGATGCATAGATACTCACCTCCCACCCTCCAATTGCCAAAGAATCAGTACAGTCTCAGTGTTCTGCCATGAATATCATTCCCCAAACCACTCATGGACCTCCTAAAGCATGGAGTTCTTTTTCTCTCTTTTTTTAAGGTGCACAATTTATCTTCACACACAATTTTGTTTTGAAACTTAGAAATGATGACAAAAGAGAACTGTTACTTTAGCTGGAAGGGAGGGAAACTTTTTTGTCCTCTCTGCTTCACAATAAACTGTATTTATGCTTGAGGCATCAAAAGATAGAATCAGCACGCACACCTCACATCCTACTCCTGGTACAAAAACCACTGATTGTGAACTGAGCTGTTGCAGATAAAGCACGTCAAAGGGCCAGGGCTGCTTCTGGCAGATGCTAAACAAGAGGAGGCTAGCAGGCGTGCATGACGACAGCACAAACATGTTTTATACAGAGAAGCCTTTTGACATCCATTTCCCCCTGAACAAATTCCCAAACCAAAGCTTGATGTTTACCTTCGGCGAGTGGGTCAAGGGTGTGTATCATGAGCTGGAAGATGCTATTCCTCATGAGACTGTTGTGGAGGGAGGCAGAGCTTCCACCTCGCTGGAGACGCGGCTTAGCCTGAGCAGAGAAACCAAAGAGGTGGTTAGTCTCAGAAATGAAAGGCAAGTGCATTATAGACAAGATCCTCACTTAGTCTGGTGGCCACTCATTTCTGTCGCATGATCACACACTATTGAGCCAACGATTTTCAAAGTACATTTCAAAGCCCCTGAGGGAATGTCTCTCACATTCTTTCCTACTAAGTGAATGCGTTGCTTCCCTTTTTAAAAAGAGCTTTGTAAATGCCAGTGTGTTACATGCTTCACATCCCTTCATTTATCTTATTTGCAAAATGAACCCTAAGATCTAGGTGCTATTATTCTTCTTGTTAGATAGACGAGGACATTTCATCTCAGAGAAGTGAAATGAGGTGTCCAAGTCACACCAACAAGAGGTGGAGGCTGGAGGAATGGATCCCAGGTCTGCTTTTCTCAAAGACTGTTCTCTAATCCAGTGGGTGGTCTCTAACATTTTTGAAGTGTGCATCCTATCAGTAAAATGTTTAAATGTATATAAATAGGCATCTATGCCCATATCTACATAGACACATATACTAAAATACGAACATATAAAAACACTTTCAAAAATAGAAGTTAAGAAGAATAACACAGTAAATGATGAAGGTGCTAATGTTTTCTCCTTGCTTCCCAAAGGCTCGTCTTGCACATCTCCTGGGCTACCTCATCTCTACCCTGGGACTACAGCTCTAACCCAGAAAGCAGCATGGCCTATGTTAAGTGAGATTCAAGAAGCAGAAGCTCTTATCATGAAACCATGAGAACTCTCCTGACTTTGAGGGGGGCTCCTTTTGGACAAACTACTAGTTGTGATCCTTTGGCCAAATAAATGGAACTGGTAGGTAAGAAGGAAGAATGAGTATCTAGAGATAAGGTTACCGACATACGCTTTTTCTTCTATCTTCAAAAGCAAACAACCTAAAAACTCCCAAACCCTCTGCATTTTGATGGGTTTTTAACCTAAATAGGAACTGCTGTCTCCCCATGATTGATTTTGTGCTGATCATCACAAGGGAAGACTCTCCGAGGCAGCCAATCTTTATAGACAGACAGATTTAAGGAGTTGAAAGGTATTGTAATGTAACGCAGTTAATTTCTTATTGAACTTTCAGTGTAAAAGTTTGACATGTAAATTTTCTGGGGCAGGTAAAAATAAAATACTATTCTCCACTATGTCTTTCGAACTTCTGCATAACAGGGTTTTCCAAAATATTCCATCATACTCTAGACCCACAAGGGGGCTTCCCCAAAAGTGTCCTATGAGAGGCTCCATGATCAAATACATATTTGATATATATTGAAAAGTGCTATATCCTAGCCAACTCACCTTAGAGTTTCAAACTACACATTAGACCACTAAATCTAACACTACAGTAATCTGTTTAACTTGATTAACTTGGGCAGTGTTTCCAAACTATTATCCGTAGGATCTTATTTTGTAAAACACTTGTTAACAATCATGGTCCACACAGTTGGAGACAAACATGAAACCCGTAGAAAGTATGAGTAAAATCTCACTATGAGATACCCGAAGAAATCTGGCTCCTTTAGTGTGATTTATTATGACATTCTATTGGAAATCATATTGCCAATTCAATAGGGTTGGAAAAGAACTCAGTGGAGATTACTGGTGTCTCAATGGTGAACCAGATTATGGCTCCTTAATAGAAGAGATTGAGTCTGTGCCTGTGTTCTGGTACTGGATCAGGTGCATTCTATGGGCTGTTAATCAATGTTACATCTTTGCCCTGAGCATTACAGGAGGAAGGACAGGGTCATATGTATCTTTATTACTGTTTTAGCCTTGAAAGTCTTAAACATTTTAAAATGCATTTTGTTATTAGTTATAGAGGATTCAGATGATTAAATTTCAGAATATTTTAGGAGCAAGCTTAGGAGATCTGAATAAAATGGAAATGTAATCACTGTTTGATGGGTGAACACAAGAATTCTGAAGGTTGTTTCTTTACTATGCTGCAAAATCTGAAATGTGATGTGTTAACTAAACAGGAACTCAGAAATGGTTTATCAATAATAATCTGTCATAACTACTATGGTCCTTATTCTGGGAAACTGGAAGAACTCTGGTGTGGAGATCTTCATTTGAAAAAGATTACATCTAGAGAAGTACTGAAAGCATTCTTTTGTGTATTATGTATGTATTAAATATATAGGTCTCATGCAGCATTTCTTTTGATGAGACCAAAAGAAATTTCCAATCAGAGTATGTGCATGCAGATACACAAAGAAAACAAATATTGAGCATTAGATCCCACACTACTCCCAAATATTAGTTCAGCATCCCTTGGAATGCAATTTGGAAATATCTCACTCTTCCAACTCCTACAAAAGTTCATACCAAATGGAAGAGAAAATTCAAATTTTGAAACCTAGTCCCAGAAGACATGTGTTCATGAATGCCAGAATTCAGTCATCACTAATTGTAGCACAGAGTAGAAGTACACAGCAGGGGTTAGACTATTTAAGTATTCCAAGGGAGAGAGTAATGTGTTGAGCACACAAACCCCTCTTACTCCCAACCCCGCCCCACACTCTCCACAGGCACACAAGCAGGTACAGACAAAGCTACTGCTTCCTACCGGTAGAGTCGGTTCATCCTTGTCTCTGGCTGCAGATGGCTGCATAAGAGAAAAAGGCAAAGACAAAAGACAAAGAAATAAATAAATGAAGAATCACATATGGCATTTACATTTAATAACAAGCATCAGTATAGGGGAAGAGTTCATTCTTTCTGCTCCTGGGATGAGTTAAGCCAAAACAGTAGACTGAGGATGTATATTTCTAGCCAAAATATAATGGTTTATTTAGGTACATGATTCATTCTCCTGAAAGGTCAAAGTTTAATGGCCAACCGGAATGTCCAGCTATACAAAGCAGTTAAGTCAACTGTGGCCCAGCCATGCAGTGGAATACTATGTGATCATTAAAATGAATGAGGTAATTCACATGTACTGACATGGAAAATATCTACTGATAACTGAAAAAATTAAACATTTATAAATATTTATTGTTTCATTTCATAAAGGAAAATAAATTAATAATACTTTAGTGCATGTAAATAAAAAAATTCTGCAAGAGTGATACCAAACTGTTATTAGTGGTTGTTACTGGTGGATGGGATTGCAAAGAAATGTCATCTTTTATATGTTTTGGGGGGAGTCAGCATTCATTGCTCCAGGTATTGTGAATAAAATAAAGTTCACAGAAGTTAGGCCACTGAATTAAAGACTAGGATCATCCCACATGGAAATCAGATAACCCATCTTTTCTTCTGCTCCCTCACCTCAAGTTTTCTATTCTAAATAGAAGTCTCTGTCCAGTTGAGAAATGTGGATTAGAACACAAGGGCACATAAAGGCCTGGTAATCTGCTGGGAGCGAACGCAACTCAGACAAGGGGGCAGTGTAATTCTACCCACATGACCCACCTGGACAGCTTTTACTTCCTCAACTCAATAGGAACTCTCCTTCTTCACCAGAACCGGGCACCACCCTGGGATCTTTCCAACGAGATACAGGTGCCTGGTGAATAGTTCCTCATGCTTAGACACCACCTTCGTCACTTCACCTCGACTACAGGTGCAGACAGCAAGAACAAACGGGAACCCTTCCCCCATCTGGCATTCTGGTCCTCCCCAATGGGGTCTGAGCAGATGTCTGTCTTCAGGAATAATCACATACTCGGAGGAGAGTAGCCAGATGCAGAGCTGTTTTAAAACTTTCATGTGCTCTAGGCTTTCTGTTTTAGGGTCTTCCACACGTGTCTTGTAAAGATATTAAGATGTCCCCACATCCCATCTAAAATATACAATTCACCTAAGGGATTATATAATTTTGAATTTCAAATTATTTGCTATGTGCCATTCATTTAAGTTAGGATTAGTATGCTCAAAATCTTGCAAAGTGAAAAAATCAAATCTACAATTTGTTTTCATATGTAATGGATTTTTAAGAAGGTGAAATTTAATACTTAGTGAGGTTGATGTTAAATATTTTGTGGACATTCAATTAGATGTTCAATAATTTTGATTTTTGTAGACACCTTTTTGGATTCCGGAGTCAATACCAATGTGTTTTTATTCCCCTTCTGGTTCCAAGCATTTTTATGAAGAACTTGCAAGTCTCAGACATAAACAGAAGGGTTCTGCATTGGTGGTAATTTCTGAGCACAGCCTCTGGGCACCACTAAATTTGCCTTAACCCTCAGGTTGGGGGCCCTCTCTCGGTGACTTCTCTAAAAACGCTAATAGGGAAATGTCCTGATGCCCTAGTTCCCAAGAGCCTGCTTGTGGAACTGGAGTGGACAGGAAACTGGCCTTTGATTCCCCACTTTCCTCTGAAAGGCACTGTATGATCCTGCTTCTCTCTGGCAGGTCCTCTCCTTTTCTTTCCTTCCACATCCGATAGCTCAACAAATGGCCTCACAGTCTGCAGAGCAATCCCCCAGGGAAATCTTCCAGGACAGCAAGCTCAGCCTTTAGACATACATTGAGATTAACCGTCAGAGCATGCCTGGTCAGTTAGCAAATTTACACCTTGTGGCTAAATGGGAGACCAATAATTATGAGCTGGAATTGATACCACGGTGATAACACAGAACAGGAAGGAATAGGATGAAAGTGGGGAGAGAAAAAGGTGGGCTTTATAAGGGCAGAAACGTCACCAGCTGAGAGTTTGAATTTTAAAAAGTATATCTCAATACATTATTTAAGGAAGGAAAAAAAATCCAAACCTGTCTTTTGGTCTGAAAAGAAGAAAAAAATATCTACTCTATTGACTTCCTTTTTCTCTCACAGCAAGGAAGATCATAAAACATAAAAGGTGGAAGGAAAATGCCTAGTACATAGATTCTATAGAGAAAAAACTGAGCGCAGAGACAGGCCTGAAATTCTCTACAAAATGTCCCACTGTTTAATGTCTGCAGTTGACATCATTCGTTTTCTTTCAAGTGTAATCTGCAGACATGAATATACATCAGGGTATAACATGTAAATTTAGGTATACACACAAATGGCAGCAGAGGCCATTAAAACACCCCTCTACTTTCCTTTTATGTAGCCCTGTTGCAAAAGAGATAAGAAGCGTGACATATGATGGTAATTGCCCATTTCTAGGGGCTCACCCACATCTACTGATAATTCGAGGTTCACCTGACTTAGCCTTGCTCTAATTGCATCTTGAAGCAGCCTCACAGTCCTGGCAATATGCAGCTGATTATGTTACAAATTCAGTTTTAAAGGGGTTTAATTACACGGGAAGTAACTAGTGAAGGTGATAAAGAAATGATTTTAATATGTATAGCCATTGGGTTTTGGGTTGGCCTAGTGTTGTGAATTTATTTTCAGGGCCATTAAATACATGGCAAGTTTATTCTAACCCATGGGATGTTACAGAAGACAACTTCCTCAAAAGAAGACTAACGTGACTTTAAGGATTAATCTTGGCATTCTTATGATGCATTTTGCTTTTTAACCCCCTTAATTTTAAACACACCAAAATACCACTCATTTGGGCTGTATTAATATGAAAGCCCAATTCCTGGTGGTCAGCATGCTATGGATTGGCTTAACAAATTCCTATAAACAAATTTAATGAATACATTGAAATAAATTTCCTATAGCTGTAGAAAAAAATATGTTAAGCCAATCCATAGCACACCCACAGCAGTTCTTCAAGGATTGTTTAAAAGAATAAACTGGGCACTTAAGCGGGCTGTGCCATGCGACCTTGGGCACTGCCAACTGTGGGTGAGCTTTGGGTGTGCGGGCGGCCTGGTGCGGCGCTCTGCTGTGTCAACGTGTTATGATGCTGTCCCAAACCAACCTGGCTACTGGAATCCCCAGGAGTAAAGTGAAATATTCAAGGCTCTCCAGCACAGAGGATGGCTACATTGACCTTCAGTTTAAGAAAACTCCTCCTAAGATCCCTTATAAGGCTATCGCACTTGCCACTGTGCTGTTTTTGATCGGCGCCTTTCTCATTATTATAGGCTCCCTCCAGCTGTCAGGCCACATCAGCAAAGAGGGGGCAGACCAGCCGTTCCAGTCCTGATCCTTGGCATTCTGGTGTTCCTACCCGGATTTTACCACCTGCACATCACTTACTACGCATCCAAAGGCTACCGTGGTTACTCCTATGATGACATTCCAGACTTTAATGACTAGCACCCACCTAATAGCTGAGGAGAAGAGTCACAGTGGAACTGTCCCAGCTTTAAGATACCTAGCAGAAACTATAGCTAAGGATTAAGGAATTCTGCAGCTTGCAGATGTTTAAGAAAATAATGGCCAGATTTTACAGGTCCTTCCCAAAGATGTTAACTGAACCTGCAGTAGCTAATTAGGACATGCTCTGTTTTTCATCCCTTGGCCCTGGCAAGAGCTCCTGACAAGTTTTTCCACAGGAATATGTATCATGGAAGAATAGAGGTTATTCTGTAATGGAAAAGTGTTGCCTGCCATCACCCTCTGTAGAGCTGAGCATTTCTTTTAAATAGTCTTCATTGCCAATTTGTTCTTGTAGCAAATGGAAGAATGTAGTATGGCTAATTTCTTATTACTAAGTAATTTATTTAAACAATATCTGAGTATATTATCCTCTACACTTATCCCTACCTTCATGTTCCAGTGGAAGGCTTTAGTAAAATCAAAGATCAGTGAGTTCATCTGTAATTTTTTTTACTTGCTTTCTTATTGACAGCAACCAGGAATTTTTTTATCCTGTGGAGCAACTTTTCAAAATGTAAATACTTTCTCTGTTTAACAGCCCTTGGCCCATTCTGATCCAGTTCACGAGTAGATTGGACAGCATACAATTTGGATCATTTTGTCCCTAGTAAATCAAATGTTCTGTAGATTATTCCTTTAATGGCTGGACTTTTGACTGTTTCCTAATGAAACACGTAGATAAGTGGTTATCATTTAGAGTTTATAACCCTATTGCTAGCACCTTGTATTACGCCATCATTCTGCTCATGATTCCAAGGATCAGCCTGGATGCCTACAGGACTAGATCGCCTTAGTTTGATTCTATTTTTTAGCTTGCAAAAGTGACTTATATTCCAGAGAAATTAAAATGTTGAAATCCAAAAAAAAAAAAAAAATTAATAAACTGCATCCTGAAGGTCTCAGGTCAGGGTTTTGGTGTGCCAACGCAGACTCCCCTCTCCATTCATGAAAGCAAGACTTTTGTCAGGCCATTCTCTACTTACAAGAAAATATTCTGTAATTCAAACCTTTATTCAATTAAACTGGCCCCCTTCTCAATGACTCAAATTAGTCATATGGTGATTGCACTTAAATTGAGCAACTGAAAGATGTCTTTAATCTCTATTATCCTTCCTGGTGGAAATTCCTTTTTTTTTTTTTTTTTTGAGATGGGGTTTTGCTCTTGTTGCCCAGGTTGGAGTGCAATGGCGTGATCTCAGCTCATTGCAACTCCGCCTCCTGGGTTCAAACAATTCTCCTGCCTCAGCCTCCTAAGTAGCTGGGATTATAGGCACCCACCACCACGTGCAGCTAATTTTTGTATTCTTAGTAGAGACAGTGTTTCACTATGTTGGCCAGGCTGGTCTTGGACTCCCGATCTCAGGTTATTCACCTGCCTTGGCCTCCCAAAGTGCTGGGATTACAGGAGTGAACCACCGTGCCCTGCCAGAAATCCCATTTCTATACAGGAATTTTGCTACTTATTTGATAGGTGTTTTGAAATTGTCCATTTATGCTTCCACCCCAGATAATAAAATGCATAGCCCATTTAGATAGTATTTTGACGCTATAAATCAGTCCAGCATCCTTAAATCTTCTTTCTTCCTTTGATCCTTGAAAGCCAGAAATGATTTTGCTGACTATAAAGTGTAGTTTTGATGGAACTTTGTATATAGCCTTTCACCACATACAGGCCCCCAGTCCCACTTCACACACACAAAAATTAGGCCAATACTGTAGTCCAGTTGCCTCAGTGCCACTCAGTAACAGGATACTAACAAGTCCATGGTTCACTCTGGTAATTATCTACTTACAAATCACATGATCAAATGGGTCACCATGAAGACTTCACAGGCCAAAATACAAGTGTGTAAACTAAGGGATGCTTTTTTTTGGTCAATGATGTGGCATCAGATATAGGGGAACAATAAGGAATTTGTTGCAAAAGCTAAGTAACAGCCATAAACTTCCACCACTTTAACATTCCACCAAGTCCTGTAAAATGTGCCTACAATGGGTTATGCCAACGACCTGGAAGCATTATAAAGTCTATAGAAATAAACTTAAACATATAATTATTTTGTCAAAAATATAATTGGAAACAAATATGCCCATGATTAAAATATGAATCCAATATTCCAATGGACATGAATTTTAATGTCTTAGAATTCAGAAAGATTTGGTGAGGAATGATTTGAGTGACTGATTTTCATTTAAAAAATTAATATGAAAGTGTAAAATGATGTTTCCTTTTTCTTTCAATACACCATGGTAATAAATAAAAACATTCAAAATGTCTCTCCTTGTTAAAGATGAATAAACCTCAAAGCCTATTGAAAGACTAGATACAAGGTGCAAAGGCCTCAAATCTGCAATGTAAAAGGAAAGGCACCCTACCACCTCTTAGTCAGATGGAAACTCATCTCTTCGTCCCTCCTTTTACTGTGTCTTAACATATTCCCTAAAACATTAAGAGAGGGGAGATTAAATCAATTCCTAGAGAAAGAAAGAAATATTTAAATTCAAATTACTTTGACTGGTTGCTGGGTAATTATCCCACAATCATGGCCCTTCTGCAAAGAAGGAATCTCAGAGAACAATGAAGTGCTGACGAGGACAGCCCAGGGTGCAGGAGTACCCACTTTACAATCCAGTTTAAAGAAATACACTGGGATGGACAGAAGGGGTAGAAATGATCTAAGTAAGAAGTGTGGTAATGAAAGCTCACATTTTGGAAGCAAAGCCTTTTGATGATTTGTTTGAATAATCTTCATGATCATGAAATATTTGAGATAGTAGAAAAAAGTTTGAGAAGAATAGGTATCTTCACCAATATGGAAGGAGTAGAAGATAAACTGTTTAGAGACACTTAAAGAACAATTTGGAATATGGAATACTCAGTAAGGCAAGGGGGCCAGGGTGACTTCCAATTGTAATCGGAATCTCCAAAATTTCTTGATCATATACCATTATCAGATAGAGTCTTGCTCTGTTGTTGCCCAGGCTGGAGTGCAGTGGTGTGACCACAGCTCCCTGCAACCTCAAACTCCTGGGCTCAAGCAATCCTCCTGCCTCAGCCTCCCAAGTAGTTGGGACTATAGGAAAGCACTATGATGCCCAGATAATTACGAAAGAAAAAAAATTTTTTTAGAGGCCAAGGTCTTGCTATATTGCCCAGACTGGTCTTGAACTCCTAGCCTCAAGTGATCCTCCCACCTGAGCCTCCCAAAGTGCTGAGATTATAGGTGTGAGCCACTGTTCCCAGACTATCTACTTATGTATCTGTGTGCTACTGTCAACCATTATATAAACATGGACTAATTTCTTCCCTCTTTTAAAAAAGATAACAAATAGAAGTCTTAATATTTTTTCTTGCATCCCAAATAATTATCTTGTGCACCCCACTGGAACATTAGCACAAACTTTTAAAAATGAATTATTTCAATGCCTCTCACAGAATTGATATGCTATATGGAATGTATTAATATATTTTACCCAACCTCTTCAGTTAACCTCTCTAATCCTGGAAGTTGTAAGATCCTTGAGGACAGGATTCACCTCTGTGCCTTCCATGGTCCCTAACTGTGGCTACTTAAAATGCAATTAAGAGGCCTGGGTGAGTGAGAGCACCCAGGCAGAACAGAACTGTGTGCTTCTGTGTCAGTTACCAGAGCTCCTCAGCTGCTTGTGCCACTGGGTAAATTAATAGTAATGGTGATTATTTAAGTTTACCTCTTAAAGGACTAATTAATCTTTCTTATTAAGTACGTACATAGAAGACAGTAATCCTTATCTTACAAATGGAGAAAGAGAGGCAAGAAAGGCCTCAGGCTATTTCTGTACTTAGGATACTAAGCACCAGTGTTAATTCATTTAATTTAGGAATTAACAACCCAACTACCACTGCTATCTCTTGCCTTCCCCTGAAAAATCCAGATGTTCTTAATTTACTTTGTTGTACCATTTTAGCAATTCTCACAATTGCTAATGAACAATTTTGATACGCCAATCAAACACAATCTGCTAGTGGTGTTCTGGCATTAGTCACACAAATTTCCTTTGACTAGTAAAGAACGCAATATGCATTCATCTATTAAGTCTTGGTTGCCTTACTTCTTTTAAGGAACGTGCCTAAGACAGAAGGTGTTCAACCATTTTGCTTCCCTGAGCCACACTGGAAGAAGAACTATCTTGGGCCACACATAAAATACACTAATACTAACGACAGCTGATGAACTAAAACAAACAAACAAAAAACTCAAATGTTTTAAGAAAGTTTAAGAATTTGTGTTGGACTACATTCAAAGCTGTCCTGGGCCACTTGTGCCCTGCGAGCTGCGGGTTGGGCAAGCCTGGAAGATGTGATTTTTTAAAAAGGTCCATCAAATGCTGATGTGGAACAAACTACAGAATACTATATAGCAAATGAGGCAGATTTCAGTAATAATGTGTGCCAAATGTTATATATATATAATATCTCATCGAATCCTCACAATTATAGGTGTTATAAACACATACTCCCCCTTTTAACACAGGAGGACCCTGAGGCTGATGGCGTTGGGACAATTTGTCCAAGGCCACATAGCCAGCAAGTGGCAGAGCTAAGATACGAACTCAGACGGTTGGGCTCCAGAGCCTTCCTAAGTGTTGGGGAAATGAGAAAGTGGCATTTTCCTTGCAGTGACCTGTGAGGAAGCTGCAGATAACACAACTTCAAATATAGTAAAAAACAGTTCACGTACATTAAGAGCTGTTTATGAGCTCTGACTTCCAATGGAGGTGAGAAAATAGTGGCAAGTGATTGTTGCGAATTTAGAATGAAAGCTTTTATTTGTGTTCATTTTGTACAAAAAACTAGTATCTGAGAGTAGAGAAAGTTACAGAGGCTATTTTGTCTCTTCCAGCATCATTATTTAGACTCAGTTACTATTGTCATGATTTACTATTATTATTTCTGTCTCTTGAAGGTCACAGAGGCACTTTTTATGCCTTCAGAACGGCACAGATTTAAGTAAAACTGCAAATGAGTTGCTCCATATATCAAGTTGACTTGTATTAAGGAGTCGATAGCTCAGTAATAGGTGGGAAAAAAAAGGGGCCCCCTGGTGGTCCCCGTTATCACTGCGGTCATGATACATTATTCTATATTTAGTTTATTTGGAAGTTCGGGTGGGCTCAGTCTTTATTTCTGACACTTTAAGGAACTAGTGCTATTTCTTTGTTTCAGGGAAAGAACAAGCTCAAAAAATGAAAATAATCACTCTTGGTATTTAAAGCTTCAGTGAGACAGTGTGAATGGCAAGTTTTGAATAAAGAAAATTCATTCATTCATTTAACAGTAA